CTTAACTAATTCTGATTGCTAGGGATATGAGATGATTGTTCTTGTTTAATTCGTAATTGTTAGGTTTTAAGTTGTTAATTCTTGTGGGAGTTGTTTTAACTAGGAATTGATGAATTCTTGATTGATAGTTTGATATAATCGAATGGTGACACTTCAATCTTATGACTGGAAACAATTGAATATTAATTTTTCGAGTTAGGGTTTTGTTGATTCTAAATGATTGGTTGATTAAACCCTTCTAATTCAATTAGGGACTCTTAGAACCGAAATGGGAGGAGTAGTAGAACTAGGCTCGCACAAGATAGACGATATTGTGATTGATTAGTCTATAGTTTTCTTTTTGAAGTACAGGCTCGTCAATGTCCCTTCCTTTATTACAAAATGTTATTGGGATTGGATAATTGGCTGGTGTTGTATGCTCGGACTTGCTCGTATATGTTCAATCCCTTGTTATGAAACATTATTGGAAGCGAACCGCTAGATGTTTATGCGAGAGTGTCAATCTCGAATCGCATGATTAATTGCCCAGTTTTTTTTAATAAAACTCGACTTAATTATCCCCAACTCCCTAGCTTCTCCATCGGCTATTTAATTCTCATTTTAGGTTAATTTATGTTTTTTGCATTATTATACATTTCTTAGTTGATAATAACTATTCATCTTGATTAGAATGTTTAGGATATGTTTGCCTTTTGTGTGCGCCCGACACCAATTCTAGATTCCGAACTGCCTTCCTAGTGAGATCAACCCGAGGTCGAGAGTCATCCCGTACTCGGTAAAAATAAAATTTTCTACAACAAATTTAGCACCGTTTTCGTGGAAGGCAAGTAGGATATTTAGTTTTGGCATTTGATTTTATTCTCTGTGTTTCTCTTTATTTTGTGTTTTTCGTGTTTGTGTCCTTTCTCTGCATCTTTGTTTTTCTTTTTGTTCTTGTTTTTTTCTTCTTTTTTCTTTCTTTTCGTGGCTATGTGTTGTCGTTCTGTTCTGGTGTGCAGGTAATATGAACTTCAATCGTGTGTTCCCCCCACCGCACACTCTATTTTGGGTTAAAGAGCCGAGATATCACGTCGGGTACCACGACCACTCATATCCATACTCTTCCGAACAACGCTGAAACCCATTCCAGGTCAAGCAGTCTTATGAGTCCCACGTGTTTAATGAGAAGCTCGACCGTATTTTTACTTTTGTAACATCCCGGTTAGCTCAGGAAGAAGAGACTGCAGCCCGATGTGCTCATCTGAGTAATCACATGAACTATGATTACTCAGTCACCTCCAAGAATGCTTGCGCCGGTTCAAGCTACGATTCTTGGGACTATGGCTAGACTTTGTCATATCCTTACGAACAACAGTGGGATTCCTTATCTGTCAAGCAGTCATATAAGTTCTTCGAAGACTCCTCAGAGTACAATGCAAAGCTTGATCAGGCTCTCGCTCTTTTGACATCCCTGGCAGCCCGTATGAGCAATCTTGAGTCCAGAATCGAGAACCTAGTGGAGCGCATGCAAGCCCTAGAGGATCGAGTTGACAATTTCTCTCTCGAGCTAACTGCTCAAGGTGAATCTACACATAAGAATGAACCTCGGGAGGATACTTTGACGTATGATGAAAAACTCGACCTTATTCTTGCTCGGATGTCTGCCCTAACAACTCGAGATGAGGAGATTAAGATCGGATGTGCTCGACTGAGTGCGCAAATAAAATTTTTACAGCACGTACCAACTCAATCGAGGCACAAGTCAACGACCCACACCTTATGCTTGATGCTCAAGCTCTTATTCTGAAGCAAATGTGTGAGGCCAAAAAAGAAAATGATGCGCTCTTAAGAGACGGGAATGATACATCATAGGAGGTGGTCCATTGGCTTGATCAGAATTCATAAATTCTCAAGTCCCTCCTCCCACCAATGAGTTGAAGCATTCACCTTCGAGGGCACTACACTGTGATACTAGGTGGTTGGATTCAACTCAATTTGCTTCACCGATGCACTTATAATTTAGGAGGTTGACGACAGAGCTCGGATGGAAAAAAACTTTGTGTCTAAAATTGGGGATATCTCGTGCCCAAACCCGTTTCATCAAGAACATTACCACCCAGATCCACCGTGTCTACCTTCTTGCCACACTCCCCGTGCTACTACTTCTCGAGAATACGAAGGCGTGGCACAAACATCATTTCTTTCTGGATCCTGGATAATTTGTACACAGGTTTCATCAAGCTAATGACGTTAAACAAGCGCGTTTGGGGAGGCAGCCCAAGTGTTATTTATTTCTTTCTTAGATATTTTCCATTATGATTTTTAGTTTTATCTTTGAATAATTGGAGTTTTGGAGTTCTGTGGTTTTATTGGCAGGAACAAGTTCGCGAGCTTAAGCATGGGGATTGAGTTAAACGAGAAATATTGAGGTTCTGGCTGAGCACAAGTGAATGGCTTGCGCGTGAATGACTGTTATCCTTGATGCGTATTCGATTTGCATACATTTTTTCTTTTTATCTTTTTGAGTCTGATGATTCCTCATGTTTTCTTCTGAGTTTTGTGTTCCTGTGTTAGCTGCTAGTATTGGTTCATGATATAAAATTGCAAGGTCTTGTTATTTGTCTTCCCAGTTATGCGTTGAAGCAATGAGGACATTGCCTCATTTTAAGTGTGTGGAGTTTACTTGAATTTTATATGCTTATGTGGTGGGCCGGTCTAGTTTTAGGTTTTTGTGTTATTGAGCATGTGTTACTAGTGAACTATATAATTTGTTGATGAATGTTTGATGAAATTGAGAAGTTGTAATGACGGACATGTTGGTCATTGCCTCGATATATGCTTGATTGGTTTGAGTGACATTTATTTGCCTTGTGAGGTTTTGATCCTTACTATTCTTTTTTGTGAGATATTGGTTGTATTCTTGAATGATTAGAACTTATCTTGAGTCTTTTTGAAAATAAATGATTGGAGTCGGAAATTGTGAAAGTGATTGAGACGTTTTGTTTGTTTAGCTCTCTTTAAAAGATTGAGAACTGCAACAGAAAACTCATCTCTCAGGAAACAAGAAGGTGTATGGGATTGGCAGTGCTGGGACCAACTGCAAAGAAAGTTGAATGAAGCTTATAAGATTGAAGAACAATCTGGGAGCATAAATCAAGGATCACTTGGATCAAATTTGGAGATAAAAATTCTAAGTTCTTCCATACTCAAACAATGCAAAGAAGGATGAAGAATCATATTTTCAAATTAGTGACGGGGGCAACACTGTTTGTGTAAGCAAATACGAAATCTCTCATTGTATTGAGGAATTTTACAGCAACCTCTGCACCTCAGAAGGATCATCAGAAGGCAACAAACTTCTCCAAGGATCCAAAGAGTTATCCCTGAAAAAATTAACAATGATTTAGTGGCACTTGTCAGCATGGATGAAATCAAAGAAGCTTTACTCAACATTAATCTCCACAAAGCCCAAGGCCCTGATGGTATGACATATGCTTTCTTTCACTATTTTTAGAACTTAATTCATCAAGATCTTTGCTCTTCAGTGTCTAGTTTCTTTGAAAGTGATATAATCTTGAAATCTCTAAATCAGTCAATCATAACTTTGATTCTTAAGTGTTTAAACCCCACTCAGGTAGCTCAATACATACTAATTAGCCTTTGCAACGTTGTTTACAAGGTGATTTCTAAGATTCTGGCTAACAAACTTAAACATTGTCTTCCCTTATGTATTTCAGATAACTAGTCAGCCTTTGTGTGTAAGAGACAAATCATGGATAATGTTATTATTGCAAATAAGTTGATTCATTACCAAAAGTTCATATATCTGGGAAAGCACGCTATATGGCTATCAAATTGGACATGAGTATAGCCATTGATAGGGTTGAATGGGCAAATGTGAGACTCATTTTTCTTAGGTTGGGTTTTAATTCCTTGTTTGTGTTGTGGATTATGAACTGCATAACTTCCTCTTCTATTTCTTCCAGTGTGAATGTAGAGTTGTAGGTTACATCAAGCCATAGAGGGGAATCAGTAAGGGTGACCCACTGTCACTCTACATCTTCATCTTAATTTCAGAGAATGTCACTTTTTTTTAATCAAAACTGAGATAGACAAAGGAATTCACAAGGAAACAAGATGAACAAGCACTGTCCCTCAATAACTCACTCTTTTTTTTTTTTTTTTTTGCAGATGACACACTCCTCTGTCTAATGCTAATATAAAAAATGCTTCCGCACTGATAATTATTATTCAAAATTATCAAAAAATAACTGGCCAAAGTGTAAACCTTAAAAAATCCTCCATTATTTTCAGTAAGAATAAACCCATTGTCCTTCAACAAAAAATCTGCAACATTCTTTTGGGCATCACACCACAAACCTCCTCAAAATACCTGGGACTCCCCCTTGGTATAGGCAAATCAAAAAACACTACCTTTTCTTGTGTTCTGGATGTTGTTACTAAGAAAATATCAAACTGGAAAAATACGTTCCTCTCTTTTGCAGGTAAAGAGATTCTTTTGAAAGTTGTGTTGAGGGCTCTGCCTACTTACACAATGTTA